TTGTAAAATACAAAAAGTACTTTCATAGTTTTAATGATCAGGTAGACTTGTAAGTAACAGATAAATAAAAATGAGACAAAAATAACTTGTCTTATTAAATGTTCATCAAAGACCAAGAGAGGCCAATGTAAGAGATTTCAACAAGGAATTAAAAGAGTACAGAAGCACTGATTATAAGTTTGTTTATATACTGTCTGGTGAGAGTGATAAATGGGGAACAGATTAGAACCTAATTTATGTACTGTTAATGAACACTAGACTAATTATTTTGTTGATCCTGATCACCCTATTTTTCTTGCTTTTGGGCAACAAAGATTCACCTTTCAGTTCATTTTATACTCTATGGATCCTCTAAATTGTTGTATTATACTCAGGTGACCGTTAAGGCCCTTGGGCCTCTTGTTTTATTATGTGATCACCGGCAGTATACAGCTCTTTATAAAAAAATTTCCTGAGCCTTTAAATTTACGAAAGTTGTGTGAATTCAAAGTTATCAATTATAATTTTTGGAATAATTTTTTCTGTATAATTTTGTTTTTCCAGGTTACAGAAATATTTGGTACTTTTTCTCCACTTCTACAATCCATTTTTCCTTTTCCCTGATAACTATACCTTTCACCTTGTCTTCTCTTATTTGCTTTAACTCATTTTCTGTTTTAACGGTTTCTTATTTAATTTCCTGTGAATGGTGCTAATCATATAGAGTCTTCGCAATATTTTCTCAGATCCTACCTCTGTTTTATCTCTACTGTGTTTCTTAAATTAGGTATATTATATGGTTTTGCCTCTTATCATTAATTTTAAAGTTTCCCAGGGTAGTTGGTCAGTAATTATAGAGCTATTATTTGTATCATGTTGAGTAATAGTTTCTGAAATGCATTCTTTAATAATTTGGACAAACATTTGATCGTATAGTAAACTATTATTAAATTTCCAGCTACCTCTTCCTCGAATTTGGTTTGTGAACTTGAAGAAAATTTCAATAAAAGAGTGATCAGACATGTTCGCATACCCAATGTTGGCATTCATCGTGCATGGTTGAAGGTCAGCGGCTTGTTCTTCGGGCCATGCCATGTAATTATAATAGAGTCATTTCCAATTTATTTTGCCCAATCATGCAAATATTAGTACGATTTACTCCGAGATTTTCCATGACCAAAACAACTTGATCGGCAGGGACCACGTGTGTCCAAGTGCTACACAATGGCGGTGTGTTTACCATTGAACTACAGATAGAATTTATTATTTCTGTGACACAAATTTCAATGAGGGATGTAATTTTTTTGACATGTGTACATCCCAGTATCGATAGAAGTATTTCTACGGCGTTCGATGCGTTTTCTTGGCATGTATGCATATCTAAGTTTGTTGTACATGAATACATATTTTAAATAGGTGTATACACCGAGTATCATGCATATAGCTCGAACAGTACATGCAATATAATAGAAAACGATACATGGGGTGGCCTTTTCTTGTTTATTGTTCAAATATTAACATGCATCAAACATGCATGTGCCTTTTAATTTTTCTATATTGCATCTATTCAAAATTTTTTTTACTTCTAAGAAATCCTATTTTGCTTAAAACTTGTTTTCGTTCAGATCATTGTGTGTTCCGAAGACAGAAAATCACTCAACAAAAAACATTAGGGTTTATATAGTGGGTAGAATAAAATAAGGTATCAGAGTGAAATAGGGCGGAGAGGACTTGCATAGCACATATTAAAGAGTTCATCTCAGCTTTCACAAAAGTTTATAATCTAGACGATTAGACATGATCCAATCATCATGAAAGCACGCGTGCATGCGCCCTTATGTATTGGTTGGGACAAAACTCTCAAAACTAACTTGTTTTGTTTTTGTTCTTCTATTTCTTACAAAATGCTATTAAATTAAAAATATGGGTATATATATATATATATATATATATATATATATATATATATATATATATATATATATATATATATATATATATATATATATATCACAAATATATATATATATATATATATATATATATATATATATATATATATATATATATATATATATATATATATATATATATATATATATATATATATATATATATATATATATATATATATACCGTATATACTCGCCTATAAGTCGGTTTTTTGGGAGTTAAAATTTGGTCCAAAACTCTATGTCCGACTTACAGGCGAGTCATAAAAAGATTTGTATTTTTCTGGAGAGCGAAATGTAGTATTTTATAAACATTTCCAATGATTTTCACTAAACAATGTCTGGATATATTATATCATTTATGTATTCTAAGATTACACATAAACACAAGTATTTACATATTTTAATAATTTTATTTTTATCTTTAAGTGTGTATTATATATTTTTCTTATGATTTAAAATTAAATATCGGCGTCATTTCTAAAAATATTGATCAAAACCAGGTTAAAACATTACACCATTGATTTGAAATTGTCAACTGATTCTGGCAAAAAGTTGTACCGACTTATAAGCGGGTCAATGGCAAATTCCTCCAAAATAACCTCAAAAAATACAACCGACTTATAGGCGGACCGACTTATAGCCGAGTATATACGGTATATATATATATATATATATATATATATATATATATATATATATATATATATATATATATATATATATATATATATATATATATATATATATATATATATATATATATATCAAGGACATGTACATTCAGTACATTTAGCTACTAACTACCTACCGTAACTTTATTTAGCTACTTGAAGTACTGTAGCTTAGCTTTATTTAGTTAATCTAATGCAAGTTTTCACAATTTTACTTTTTATGTAAAATAGACAAAAAAATCGTATGTGACTACTTATATGTATACTAAGGAGTTTTAAAATAGCATCTCAGAGCACAAATAGTTTGAACATCGCTGCTTTTGAACACTTTTAGGCAAAAGATGTATTTCTTGTACACCACTATGTGTGTGATGAGGCATGGATAAGTATGAATACTTCACATTATGCTGAAATTTTACCAATCAATTATCATGTTAACCAAAAATGGTCTTCATTGTTATTTCATTAAACAAGTAACTGTTTGGTCACAAATTGACAGTTGTAAATAGCCCAAAAACTTTTAGAATTTTGATTGTAAAAGAAAGAGACAAATCTTCAAGAATGTTTGTTTCATGAATTCTATTCAGATCAGTTCGAAGTTATGAATTATCACTCACTGCATCAAAGTGTGATTTTTGCATATACTGAAAAAATGCTTATTTAAGAAATAAGTATGATTTAGTAGCTAAATAAAGCTACATTTAGTAAGCAAATACAGCTATGTAGATAAATCTAGTGATTGTACAAGACCTGATAATGAGGTTCTGTGACATATGATTTTTTTTTAAAACCTGCACATGCATGTGCACTGCAATATGATTGACTAAGACTAAAAATGGCTATAACTTTCTCATTATTCAAGAATATAGGACAGAATTAAGGATTTGGATAAGTATAATGTGTTCCTTCATTCTTAACTTATTTCTATTAAAACTGAATACAAGGACATGTATGTGGGACACAGAGACACATATGTTTCATATTTGGATATTTTCCTAGAATCAGAAGTTAATGGTAACCTAAAAACAAAACTTTATGATAAACTTGATGATCTTAACTTTTCTATCGTCAACTTTCCTTATTTTATGTAGCAATATACCATAATCACCTGCATATGGAGTTAAGGTCTCCAAGTTGATTCGATAAGCAAAAGCATGCTCCACGTACGGAGAATTTCTAAACCGAGGCAAGCTATTGACAAGCAAGTTGACGAAACAAGGATATCAACAGTCTCGTTGGAAGTAAACATTACTGAATTACAGTCTCGTTGGAAGTAAACATTTTGCAAATTCTATGGTCGATACAATGACCTTGTCAGCAAATCCAACTATCAATAAGTCTAATGCTGACTGACATTTTTCAGACAAATTGTTAGGCCATTACTGAATTATCTACGGGTAATTCCGTTTGCACGATCATGACAAGGTCACAAAGCGGGTGTGACTGGTCAACTGGGGATACTTACTCCACCATGGCACCTGATCCCACCTCTGATGTTTTTAGAGGTCCGTGTTTGCTCTGCTCCCAATTTGTATTGTTTCAATAGACCCCTGAGCTTAATTACTGTTCGTTATTTCCATATTTCAGCACAGGTGCTGAATTCTGATTGGTTAATATTTTGATGGATGTAATTCTCTTCCTTTTCAATGGGTATAAACAAAAAGATCTGAGTGAGAAATATGTAAAACACACACATGTATAAGCGCTGAAATCTGATATTAGGTTAACGTATCATGTTAAAAGTCCGTGCATTTCGGAATCATCAAATATGGATTCAAGGACATGCATGCACGTGTGCTGAATTCTGATTGCTAATATTTCATTGCATTAACTTTTAAATCTTTAGTGACTAACTTTAAAATTTAGATTTAATTCTATATTACTATGAGATGATACTATCTTGGAAAAAAGTGCATGCATGTGTGGTAAAATTTGATTGGTTAATATATATTCTAACAATGCTATATCAATTTTATTATCCAAAGAAATCAATGTTTGCAGGAAAATTTTCGCCCCGTTTTATATTTCGCTATCGTCACAAGTGGGCAATCTTAGACGGGGCGAATTCAAGGAAAACAGCGTTATCTTTTAAACGCAACCGTATCTGGCCGAATTAAACCCAAGTTTTTTTTCGCCCTTTCACTCTAGCACTCTTAAAACAGGTTAAAAAATTGTTTGCTAGAGTGAAAGGGCGAAGAAAAACTTGGATCAAAAATTACCCTGTATACAGTATTCTGGAAAATTAAGTTAAGGTCTATAATACAAAAGCATTGCCTAATTTAGTGATGATTGTATGGAATGAGCCAGTCAAAAGAGAATAGAGAAGTCGTTTTGGGAACATCTTAAATGGTCCGTTCCAATTAATGCTAATTATCATTTGTTCTTACATACTTACCATCCTCAAAGCCCGTTTTGCAAAAAATTTCCAAAGTTTTCTTTTCATATATACTTCTACATCGCGTGTTGATTGTCTTTAAATTTTTGCTCAAACCATCAAATCTAAGAGCTAAAGATTCCAGTTCATAATATTTCCATTCTGAATTGCGTAAGCCTTCAATTTGTACTTTACATTTTTGGAAACAGGTATGTGTTTCTGGAAAATTAAATAGATAATAATTAACAAATCGAAATCCCAAGCATTACATTCATCAATTAATTAAAAAATAAAACACTTAGAGAATCTTAACTACTACAATGTAGTTACTTATATAACAGCATGGCTTTTCTTAATGTGATGTTTGAGTAGATTCTGAACCTCTTGAACAGTTGAACTGTTTTTGTATAATGATTCACATATTATTTGTATTTTCTACTTCAAGCTCTGTATGTTACACAAGAAATACACGTGCTTCCCCTGACAATCAGAAATCACTTGATTCTGAACTGCTGTGAGAGTCTTCTCATATGATTTGAAACATTTTTGGTCTATTCTGATTTCACATCGAATACAGTGTATTGTTCTGAAGCAATTCATAATCTCAATGAGATTGTTGATGACTTGCCTGATCGAGCTGTAAAAACTAATGTAAAGTGATTGTCAGATTATGTTACCAAGTTTGAGCCACAAATAATATTGCTTAATGTGTATATACTTCCAATCTCAACATAAAATGCACACAGTAAATGTATACATGAATATACGCTTATATTTTAGATTTCCCTAGGATGTACTTGAAGCAATATGAGCCACAATTGTCTTTTTTAGTATAAAATTGTAATTTAATCTTTCAATGAAAGGAAAAAGGACGGTTTATAAACTTTTAGTATTCATATTTGCGTTGAAAAGACTATTTAAAAGCAGCTCTGATTGAAGAAGAATTATATAATTGTCGTTCTTTAATCTTTTTTTTTTTATTTGATATTATATGCCATATTACAGTAGTCTTTCCTCCATTAAAGTTTAATGCTTAGTTGTAACCTTGCATATAAGGATTTTAAGTACTCGTAAAAGAAAAACATGCATAAATATAATGATTGCATATTTTAACAGCGAAAAAATCTTTAAAATTCTGCCCATACTATGAATCTTTGATTTACCTTGTTCAAGCCAATTTCGTGCATCTTGTAATGTAAACCAGCACGCGTCACTCCTCCATGCAAATTCAATTGCCCTTTGTAAGCAAATATCACTTGAAATAAAAAGTTATCTAATTAAAGTTCTTCACTTTATGTTCTAAAAAGCTGAATTATTCAACGTGTATAGTTTAGGTAAAAAAGAGAGAAGTGAATTGAACATTTGAAAGGTTGCACAATATTAAATGAATTCGAAATTCTTTCTCAAGAATTTTTTTTTTTTTTTTTTTTTTTTTTTTTTTTTTTTTTTGCTTTTCTTTCACAATGTCTTTAAATATTTCAAACATAATGTTTCCTCACGGTGGTCAAATCCAAAATTAAGGGACCCTCCCCATTTGTCGGATTGCAAATCAAAACAATTGATAAGATTTAGAATTTTTGCACTATTCGAAATACACATGTAATAATGAAATTATTAATAGTATGAAATATTGCCAGAAAGGCAATACGTCTTTCATGTACTAGTTCTAAAAGAGATCACGTTTACAAAATTTCCTTATACAATCCAATATACGATTTCCTCAATGTTATTTTAACTTGAAAGAGATGTGGGACGGTACATATTGTCGACGGCGACAATATGTGCAGTGATGATATGTGCATAATTATATTGTCGCCGATGACAATATGTTCAAAACGACAAGATGCTATCAAGAATGATTTTTCCGTTTTCTGTTAGTTTCAGAAAAACAAGGTGGGTACATGGACTTTGAAAATTATCAACTTAATATTTTGAAATAAACCTTAATTTAGCCTACTTTTCGATTTTTTGTTGAGTATAGAAGGACGCTACATGATTTTTGAAGTCTGGTATGTATCTGGTATTAAATTAAAATTTCGGGGAAAACATCGTCACGGAAATTAATCGTTACGGAAGTTAAAGTGGCCTGGACACAGTTGTTTTGTTTACATTTTAAATTTCTATGTTTATTCAAAAATTAACTTCAGTTTAATGAATTAACATTACATAAATATTCTTAAAATTCAATGACAAAGACATTCCTCTTTACATCACGTTTAACATGTGTGTGTTTGTAAACAGGACACGAGTTGTGTTATTGTTAATGTTTACGTTTTACCAGATGTGTTCAATTTCTTAACTCTGCTCACATCAATGAGCATGGAATGACAATACTGGTGAGTTGGTTTTGCTTTCTCAAATGTCTACTCTGAATTTTCTGGATTATACTTTTAATATTTTTTTTATTTATACACAACAAAATTTCTACTTCTCTTAAGTATTAAGGATAATGTTTAATACATGAATTTTTTTTTTCAGTGTAAGTAGTTAATAACAGTTACAATTAAAAATAATCTGTCACAAATTACAAATATCATTATTTATACAATCTTTCGAAAGATTATTCATTTTCGCTGCTAAATGAAAATAGTTGTATGTGAAATATGTTATGGCGAATCCGCGTTTCTTTATTTTATCACTAAAATTTTTTGCATATATCAATGCTTGTAAAGTAAACCAGTTATTTAATGGAATTCCATATCATGCACATAACCAAAAATCCACATCCACATTTGTTTTATCTGGTACATAACATTTAAAATCTACAGATCATAGTAAGCTAACATATATGCTTCCAATTCTAATTACATACCTGTTAATATTGTATGCTGAACAGCCAAAATGTAAAATTATGGAAATAAACAACCCTGAAATTAAATAAGTGTTCTTAAAATTAAAAAAAATGCACTGCGGTTGATTAGTTTTTATTGTTTTAAAAGCCGTCAGTCGCTCTGCCTAATTGATTCCAACCTTGTGAGCTCTATGTACAAATTTACTTAAATAAGCTGTTGTCGACAATATATGAAAGCAGAAAAGATACTAATTCCGGATTAAATAAGAGAAAATTGAATGAATCTAAAATATAGAATAGAAAACACTACAAAAAATTAAAAACAAATCATACTTTAGATTTAGGTGTATGTTAAAATTAAGGAAGCATATGAGTGCCACTTAGACACTTTTTCGCTCACCTGAGCCGAAGGCTCAAGTGAGCCTTTTCTGATCAAAATTTATGCGTTGTTTGTCGTTGTTGTCTTGTTGTCGTTGTTGTAATTATCTCTTTACAATTTCATCTTCTTCTCCAGAACCACTGGGCCATTTTCAATCAAACGTGGCACCGATTATCCTTGGGTAAAGGGGATTCAAGTTTGTTCAAATGAAGGGTCACATCCTCTTCCAAGGAGAGATAATTAAGAAAAAGTAAAAATTGGATGGGATCATTTAAAAATCTTCCTAAGAACCACCGGGCCAGAAAAGACGAGACCTATATGAAAGCTTTCTGATACAGTGAACATTCAAGTTGTTCAAACCATCCCCGGGGGTAGGGTGGGCCACTATGGGTAATCAAAGTTTTGCATGGGAATATATAGGAAAAATCCTTAAAAATCTTCTTCTCAAGAACAGCAAAGCCATGATCAGTCATGTTTATATGGAGGCAACTATAGGTAGTATAGATTCATGTTTGTTCAAATCAAGAACCATGGGGGTAGGGTGTAGCCACTGTGGGCGATCAAAGTTTTACATGAGTATAAATATGGAAAACCCTTAAGTCTTCTTCTTAAGAAAAGGAAAGAAATGATTAATCGTGTATATTTTAGCATCCTAAGTTGTGTTGTTGGTTATCTCTTATTTCATGGAGATATATAGGGAAAAGAATCTTCTGATGAACAAAAAAAAGCCATAGTTTCTCAGATGAGCGGTCTAGCCCATGGGCCTCTTGTTTATTTTCCATTTTTCACACTTTAATCTGAAAAATATTCACTTTAATTTGTAAAATTTACACAATAATCTATCAAATCTAACTTATCTCTAAATATTAAAGTTTAATCTGTAAATTTTACACATTAACCTGTAACTTTTTCCCTTTAATCCGTTAATTTTACACTTTGCTCTGTAAAGTTTACAATTTAATTTGTAAATTAAATATTAGTCTGTAAAATTTACACTTAATTCTGTAAAATATACAGCCACTTTATTTTGTAAAATTTACATTTTTATCTTTATTTATCGGCGGTCATATCATGTTGTAATGCTTATGCTGTGTAAAAATGAGATGTTTTCAAGTGGTTGCATAAAAGTATACATATATATATTATTAGTAAGGATCGGCGTTTTTGCCCCTGGACCTCGTAATTTTCCTTAGCAAATTGTTGAGGATCTACTTTCAATCCAGTAAATATTTCTTTCGTACTATTGTAAACAGCGACAAACACTAAACTAAATATCTTAAATATTTTTGCCATCTTATTTCCTGTTCAGATTGATATTGCAGGTTTATTGGGCTATGATCATGATGTAAAATACTACAACATATTACGTTTGGTTGTGTACTTTATTTAGCGCCTTTCGCGGAAAGCAGCTTTGTTTCAGCAAGTACATCGCTAAATGCCTTATAGAGAGAGAGAGAGAGAGAAAGAGAGAGAGAGCACATTCAGAAGTGCTAAGCACTAGATCATATATCGCGAAATATCGTACACGTCAAATAAAATACAAGTACAGTATAAAACATAAAATCACAGTCATTTTAGAACATAACCATTCAAGAAATATCATTGAATCAGCGATTATTGATTTCTATGAAGTTCTTACATTAAAATAAGCTCAAAAACATTTATACTTATTAATTATTGGTTATTTTAAAATGCTATTTATTTAATTGTTGTGCATAATACACGAATTAATTCTTTCAATATATAAACTGTTGTGTGCATGAAATGAATATGCATGTTAATGATATCAATGTTTTAATCAGCAAAACCAATAGTTTGCATCCTTTTTTTTTTTTTTTTTCTCTCTTCAATATAATAGGATAAAATCAATGAATGCATGCAGTAATTCAAAATTAAAGATTTCATACTCATTAAGAAGATATGTATGTTTGATTTTCCGATATCCTCACTTATATCAATCATGCTAGAATGGTTATTTGTGCTATATCCTACATCTCAAATTATTTTCCACAATAACTGTTATACTAAACTTTAAGCTTAAATTATAGC